AAACTGCTAATATATATATTTTTTAAATAATAAATTTATTGATGTTATTACAAAAAAAAAATACGGGATTTTTAAGCGGTTCGTTTCACTTATGAATTGTAATTTTGGGTAAAGTAGTAATTGCTTCACTTGTATTCTTTAAATTGCTGAAATGTTTGTAGTGTTTGGTATAAACAGCTGATTTTATTTCAAAAAAGTTAATTCAGCTGCGATAAATCCGTGTCATCGCCCGAAACTTAAGTATAGTGTTCATGGAATGTAAACGGTTTTATTTTTATTCCACGTTAATTTTACATGTTCTTGCAATTTTTGGCTGAATTTATCATTTTATTATTGTTATTATACATTGTAAGAAGTCCTAGACAAGTGAAGCCCTCTTATATATGTTTATATAACATACATTCCACATTACCCGATACTTTACATTGTATAAAGTGTAAGATTTTATATACTAATATATTGAATTAATACCGAGTATTTATACTGTATATATTTGGGCCTTTAAAGGCACGAGGCTCTATAACAAAGCCTGTGTTGCTTAAGGCGCAATTGTGTAGATGAACAGCAATTTAATCTGAATTTTATTGAATTAAATTCATGAGTAAATTGGGGATAATATTACTTTAATTAGTTTTTAAATTAATATATTTTTTTAAACATTCATATCTTGTTTCTTATAATTGCTATTGTGTTTTTATTCTAGGCCAAGCAACACTCTATCCTTATTTCACAGTACATTTGAAGGCCTTAGGCGTATCGATTCAACGTAACCATTAAAATTCAGATACGTAACATCCGGCCTTATNTATTTAATTGACTATTACAGTAAAGGAGAAGATCGTAATTATAAACCATGCTTTTATCTATACGCTACATTATACGGACTAGCTACTCTAACTGCCATTTTCATAGATATGAGCATGAAAGTTCCTTCGCAGAATGCCTGCCGAAATTTAAAAAACCTTCTTAAAAATTCAGAAGTCTGCTTGATGTTAATCCATGTGGCATTTTTGGGAATATGTTGGGGATTTTTAGAGAACTTTTTATTTTTGTTTCTGGAAAAAGATTTAGGTTTTTCTAGTTTACTACTCGGGTTGACTGTAACTATTGGTTCTGGAACGGGACTTCCGATGTCTCTTGTGTCTACTTGGGTTACTAAGAAGATTGGTTATGTTAATGTCATGGTATTAGCTTTTTTCGCGTATACAGTTCGTTATTTAGGTTACTCTTATGCAACTGATCCCTATATCTGTTTCATATATGAGATGATGGAAAATTTTACTGTAACACTGCTCACAGTTGGAACTACGTTATATTGTACGCACTTATCATCCCTTGAAATGCTGACAACGATGATGACTTTATGGAATGGCCTTCATGTTATTTCAGGTGAAATTAATAATTTATTATTATTATTATTTTAAACTACAGTATTCTCTCCTATTAAAATAATACAATTTTAAATTTAAAACACAGAATTAATAAAAACGACAATAGATGGCGCAACTTCAAAAATTTTACTTAGAATTTAAATTATTTTTAAATAAATAATATAATTTTTATTTATTTTACTTAGGCCGTGCTTTTGGTAGCCTAATAGGAGGATTTTTAATGGATTCTATCGGGCCGAGGAAGACATTTCGAATTTTTTCTGTCGGTTGCGCTATTTTGGGAATTTCCTATTTTTTAATCAATTTATTTTATCTGAGAAAATTAAGGAAAAAGGAAATCGAAAGTGATCTAGATAAAGAAATGGAAGGTAAATAAAACTAAAATAGAATCTTCCCGTTTTGGTGCTGCGATCGCTTTTCTGTGATAATATTTTTCAGCATTTGAAAAAAAAAAGAAAAAAACGATTGGATTAATTTAATAATAACTTTTTAAGATTAATTTTATTAATAAAACATTTTCCAAAAATTATAGTTTGCTTTTACACGAAAGCAAATTATATTAAATTTGCTTTTATGTAAAAGAAAATTTACAAGAGATCGTATGACGTCATAGACATTTCTAAATTTTAAATTTTAAACATTTTGATAAAGTATTTATATTTTAAAATTTTTATTTATTAAATATGATAATGTTTTTTACTACATAATAATAAATAATAAATTATAACATACTTAAATTACCCGAAATTGTTCCTTAAGCGAATGACGTCATATCGTCAATTAATCTTTTTCTTCAAAACGATCGTCTGCTATTAATATTGCCAATGACGTCATTAAAATAAAAAATGCCAAGCGAGTTTTCACAAAAGACATTTAATGATATTACGTAAAAATAAACGATACGAAAAGAAAATTGATAATAAATTTAATAAAACCGGTTCTAATATCGATAAAAAAAAAACAACAATGAATTTTAAAATAATCGTGACGTAAATACTCAGACGTCACGATTACTTTAAATTTATATACAGTAACATTTGAAGGCCTTAGGCGTATCGATTCAACAACTTACAATCATATTTGCCATCCAACCCGTCATTGCTCTTTTTGTAGCGCCGATGATTGGAA